CGTCCACCAAAAAACTCGAGGTAGCTACAGCCTCTATGCGTGGAATGAGAATAAAACGGATGGTCTAAAACGTCTTTAAAGCATGCGATACGACGATTTATGACCTTTTCAGAAGCCTATCTCCCTATCGTCAGTAAACCGACTTTACAGACAACCGATTTTTTGTGAAAGAGAAGGAATCTATAACTACTCAAAATATTAATCTTTTTTAACACAAACATCCAACACTGTCTAAGGATGACCTGTGACAAACGAACGGATGGACTAGTCTGGTCTTATTATAGGGATTTTTCTTTTATTCAGTGGTACAGAACCAAATAACTAATTTCCTGAGTGGCGTTGGTTTTTACTCTAATTTAAAGTTCTGGAAATTCTGTATCTTATTTTTTGTTAAATGCATGAGCTAATTGATTGTATATTAAATGAAATTTATCGATATAAGGAGAAAAAATTATTCCTAATTGTAGGTATTCAGTCCAAAAAACCAAACTGAATATGTGGGCATCCTTCGTTTTCTGATTCAATTGTGTACAGAAAATTAAAACATTTGAAATAATTCGTACCTATAAATAACTGTTAAAATTTATGAGGCGACATCTATAACCGCGTACATATATTTTTAGAAATTAATTATTTTTGACAGTTACCAAGTAGAATTGTATTTTAAAATGATTAAATGTGTTATTTAGTAATATCTTGAGAAATAAAAAGAGAATTAAGACGGAACAAAAACGCACAATTGTTTACTTCAATTTTCTGTATTTTTGCACCTGCTTTGTAGGTAATATCATTAAATTCTATCATTATTAATTTAATTAAATTTCCCATTTATTTTTCCGTTAGGGCTAATGAACAATACGATTAGCTTCGGCAATCAATAAACCTTCGTTTTTTCATATAATCGGTTAGCACTTTGATCACGGATGATAATTGAATGCTATTTTTATAAAACACCTCAAGTATAAAAACAATTAAAACATCTTTATTTTGTTAATAAACAAGTAATTCAGGAATCGAAAATCATTAAAGGAAAAGTGCCTTTGGCGTTCAACAAATCAATTTAAATGGATTTTAAAGAACATGTGATCACTCAAAGTAAACGATGTAGATAATTACATGTCACATACCTACCGCACAAATATTGCATAAATGTGATTGCAATCATTAAATTAATTAATATTAAAATATTCCTTGGCTAAATTAAAAAACATACATTAATATTAAACAGGGAGAAAAATACAAATCAGTTGCGTACATAGTAGGCACTACACGGATACATAATGTAAATGTGAAGAAGACAGCTAAATAATTGATGTTATCACATAAAATAATATAATCATGAATCAAAAGTATAATTTATAGTAGTACTTTATTTATGTTAGAAATTGCGAAAAGAGCTTTTATAAACGTTTACTTATTACACGTTTCGGAAAAGGAAAAGTTTATTAAATATTGGACTAACTAGATGTGATTCCTAATTCAAATATAACCAAATATACTTAATACCAGCGCAAACCACGCCCACGATGATACGTGGTACTAGCTACTAAATATACTGCACGCCAGCACAACATGGGAATATGATTATCTCGATTTATAGAACAAACTTCAGGAAGGGTTGATGGATCAGTGATATGAATGGTCAGTTGGCACACAGATCAGCCCGGGATCCATTCCTAGCTGGTACTGTACGTTTTCTGCATTTCTGTTCGTTAAATCAATTACAACTACTTCTGCCTTACATTTATCCTAAGCATGAATTAGCCATTTTGAAACCAGCACTGCCTTCAAAAATACCCAAAGTAGGAATATTATACGTAGTAATTGCCAAATGCTACAGGTATATTCTTCGAGGAATTAAACATTAAATATACGTTTTAAAACTCTGGGCAATTATAATCTGTTAATTATTTCTTAATTGAGGTCTTGAGGACTTCCTGTTTAGTAAAGGTTTAGTTAAAAATGGAAGCCAAGTATGGTATTAAATAAGGTTACCTAATTGAACCTTAAGTGTCGCATTGTAGTATTACATATTAACTTCTTTTATAGTTCCTCATGAAAAATTCATAGTTTAATAAAAAAACTCATTTAAATTAAATTCAAAGAGTAAGGGATGCAAAAAAGTTTTCTTTGTATTTTCTATTCTTTTAATAGATATGTAGATAATTAATTTAATCTAATAATAACAAGTCATAGTCAGTATATATGCGCACGTAACAAGTTTTTGTAATAACAAATAGTTTTAAAAGTAACAATAAAAAGATAAAATGGTTAATAAATCAATAGAACTATAATATCAGGGATCTGTATCAATAGACTTTAGGGTTCATGCCTGTCACATTAGTCCTGTAATCCTTTTTAATGGTTTGGAAAATGAAAAATTAGTATGTCCACTCGTATTTAAAAAGTTGTTAATTATCTCGTAAAACGTAAATTGTTTTAGTGCTTTAATTTATGTATAAATGTTATCATGAAGTGTATTAAAAAAAAGAGACGATCACGATTTAGTTCGACAGTTGCTTCATTCTTAAAAAGAGTCATGAGTGAGTACCTTGAGCAGAAAATGAATACAAAATAGCATAATAATATAAACCTTAAAGTTATCATACGATTTAAAAAAAGGAAGAAAAGTTAAAACAGTTTTATTACTTTTATTACAGATATGTTTCTTGTTTATAATAATAAAGTAATGGAAATTTTATTTTATTATGTATATGCCGTAACATCAGCTTTAGAAAATAAAATATCAATTTAAAATCCAAAAATATACTCTGCAGCAATAAGAAGATATGCAGAACTAATTGCAACACATTTACTAGCTACTATACGAAACGATTGATTGCTAGAACTAACGGCTTATAATGGGTGTTATCTTTTAGTAGCACTTTCCTGTAATAATATTTGATTTGGAGTGCATAATAAAATCCTATAAATTTATATGGGTGTTTCAGAATCAGTCCAGACAGATACTTTTATTGCAAAGATGGCTTTAAAATAAATATCAACAGATGAAGAATATCGCAAGCAAAAAGAATTCTTACATAAGCAATGTTTGTATTACTATCCCATTAACTATTACCATGCCATTAGTGGTTCAATACAAATATCCCAAAAAAAATAAATCATTAAAGAAAATCAGTTTTAGTTTTTCCTTAATATTATAATTTTTATTTAAAATGTACGCATTCTGAACGGAATGCATTTTTACCTGAGCGCCGACGATGACGAAAGTTAGCCCAAAGAAGCGCACGATCCACGGCGATATTGAAACCCCCATGGCATCGGAAAAGGGAAAGTTCTTTCACACGCTCTTCTGTTTTCCAACTCTCATCTCCAAAACTTTAGAAGAACAAACCATGGTCAATGGAAAAAAACTGTTAAACCACCAATTATTATTTAATCACAATTACAATAAATGTTTTCGTAATCCGTTTCAATCACCGCTCGAACAAAAACCGTTAATTGTTAATAATTTCCAATTTTCCAAATAATTCAAAAATCGGAAAGGTCTGTCGCCGAATTTCAGACCAGTAGCATCGGATTAAAAACTGCTAAATACTGACAGTAAACAGCAGCAGCAACAACAGGAGCCAGTGGCCAAGTCTCACTTCGAACTTCGAGCCAGCAACTAGCTACCTACAACTGATATGAGACTCTCGGACCACGTCGAGGTGCAGACTTCCAGCACAATATCCTCTTCGGAGCGCATGAACACGCGGAGTGGTTGTCTTCGTTCTTTTGCCTAGATTTCAAAACCAGCAGAGAGCAGAAGCACTGGGCATACAGGCATTGCACTGCTCCAAGTATTAACATGACCCAGACATACTTGTATATTTGAATGATATTTCGTTATCTTGGGTTGAACTATCCAAATCTGATGCTTAGATAATAAGCGTCACAATAATAATTATCTTTAGATATTGAGGTTTCTAATTCGGGAATTCGGGAGATCAAGAAATCTTTTTCGCAAAATTATGAACGTCGATTGAATTATGAGGTGCGTACTCAGGACGCTAAGCCGCTAACTGTAGAAACTGAGGTGCAAACACATCTACACTAAGTTTCGCGAAAATGCTTTCTAGCCTACTTAATGTATGGGACTGCATTCTTTACAAAGGGCAACGCGCAGACATTAATGCGCACTTTATATGTTCGACTGAAGTCCAATAATTAAAGTGATTCAAATGATTTCCATACTATTAAAATGGTTAATCATTATATACTTAGTAGAGGCTTTTAATTATATTTATTAATTAATTTCCATTTTTGAGGCATCACGATACGAATTAATGACAAAACGATTATATTCTTCGGACGATAGCTATAACTACTCTCCTATAGCTGTAAATCTGAGTTTGCCCATCATTGAGTCGCTTCATCTCTATCACGAGCTTGTTATCTGTATGAAAATCTTAAATGAGCTTATTTTTTGTTTGGACCTTGCAAACTTATTTCAGAAAGTCTTATATCGTTTGTAATCTTCATACTTAATGAAACCTGTAGTAGATTAAATCGACTTATACAGGCTGTAAAGAAATTGGAACTGCTTACCAATTGTCTTAAGGTCTTTAATATTTTACGTAACTTCAAGAGTCAAATTAGGTCACATGTATTCAATGTTCTAAAGGTGTTTACCTGAATTATAATCTCTACTAAAAGGACTTATAGTGAATAAATAGGCAAATTAATAAATATTTTGGTCAAGAATTCTATTAATAACATGCATTTTTTCAGATCTTTGGAAGAGTCAGTTATAGAACCCATCACAATCATAATAAACAACATAGGAGCTACAATACATACTCAGAAAAGCTAATATCTTTTGGACTAACAATGTATCGTTTTGTTGGAAAATGTCAACGTCTCATACATCTTTATAAAGAGACTAAAACCAGGAGATAATACTTTGGGATAAAGGACAAAGAAGAAGATAAGGGAAAAGCATTCCTTGAAGGTAATTTAAATGAATAGTTTCACTACATCAAAATTTTAGTTGTACATTATTCCAGACGTGTAGATAATTAATTGGAAAGCTTCAGAATGTTGTCACGAATCATTTCGTTGTCATATCTTGTATCTTATTGTAGGTCCCATTGGCAGGAGAATAGATATATCCTTAAAGGCCCTCAAATGAATATGAAGAATCCAACCAAAAAGCATTCGTGTTAGTTTGTCCTTTTTGCTGTAAAAGCAAGTGCATTTGGTCTGTTCTCAAACGGTTGTATTTGATGTCGTGGATGAGAAGGAATGGGAGGACGTTGGCATCAAGACAGCCCCAGGGGGTAATAAAGCCGTAGACAGGGTGTCTACTGGAACCGGTGTGTGTGCTATACGCAAATAGCTGATCCACCTAAAACCTAATGGTCATCAAAATATCTAAGATTTTCTTCTTTCGACAAGCTGCATTACAACACCACAGCACACCAACGTCCGACCTGTTCATCCAATTTCTCGGAATTGCCATCGCAAGCGGTAATATAAATTTTAATGTCAAGAAATAAATGCAAACCAAGATGCATGACAAAGTTGTTAAATACTCTCACGAAAGGCTTCTTGCAAACATAGAAAAAAATTGAAAACGAAGAACATTGAGTAAATATTTATCTATTCACAATGGATGGAATTTTTAAAGATTATTATTACCGGTTATGAAGAAAATGTATCACGTTTCGTTCCATAAAAAAAAGTTGTTTGCAGAACTTCTTTACATTACTTTACCATCTAATCCTTAATATTCATTATATCAAATTAGAAAGAACTAATCATGTGCGAAGGTTCCGCAGTCAGTTGCAGGACACTGTCGCGAGGCGATGAACCTATTCGAGACCTAAGAACGTTTAGGTACCCCGGATGTGGTTTCTTTTCAATAACTTTCCAATTTTTTTTAATCTTTTTCCCTTCCCTGAAAATTACACTTTGATGATTCTGAGTCTTCAAGATTTTAATTAAAAATTCTTCTGGAATTGAGAGTATTATATTACTACATAGTACAAAACAAAGTCACTTTCCCGCTGTCTGTCCCTATGTATGCTTAAATCTTTAAAACTACGCAACGGATTTTGATGCGGTTTTTTTAAAAGATAGAGTGATTCAAGAGGAAGGTTTATATGTATAATACATGCATAATATAGTAGGGAAACACTGATAATTTTAGAGGTTTCTAATGTGATGTCGTAAATAAACACATTTTTTGCGCTTACATTGCAAACGCTGGCTGAACCCTACGAGATAGATCAAAATAATGTACTACAATATTGTACATCTTAAAAGGGTCTACAAAAAAGTCCGCGATGGTATATGTCTATCTCTTAGGGATAACCCACAATAACCATTTTTATCCTTTACTTTTTATGAGAAATAATGACTTATTTACGAAGTGATTGTAGGCAATACAGCATTAATTCTTATCCAATTAAGTACCTTAAATACTTGTGCATTTAATATAGATTGCATTACAGTATTGCACCCGTGCGAAGCTGGGGCGGGACACTAGTTAATTATATAAGATTATTCCTTTACAAACTTTATTTTCTCCTGCATTTTTTTCAGTCCACTTAAAGAATAGTCGTAATTATATTGTTTTAATGTCACAAAGGTGTTTTTCTAATATATATACTATTAGCAAATAATCCCTCAACAGGACTTTTTAATGATTAACATACGTTTGTAGTTGTGTTGTCTTTCTCCTTTTTATTCCTGTTCTTTTCTATTGAGCAAGAAAATAGTTAAATTATTCAAAGCATCCTTCAACACTTTAGTTTCTACATAATTTTACATACAATTAACGAATTTACAATTGAAATAGTACAATGATTTACGTGGGGCATCTATTCTGTTAGGTATTTCAAATGGAAAACAAATCGAAAAAAATCGTCTGGAACTTGTATTGATATTGATATGGAACTATTTACAAATGTAACGTAGTATATTATAGTAAAAGTCCGCATCGGAACACCGGAATTTGTAAACCACCAGGCAGATTTTCTATTTCGGCAAATGCACGTCAATTCCTGCAGATAAAGTTTTCGAAGAAAAATACTGCAGCGCATCAACAAGAATTAACACGTTTATCTGGTTGAGTTTGGACGTGGGTTGTAGGTAATGTCGGTGGATTCCATCACAGTTAGATCACGGAATTTTCGGGTTAATTCGACTAATATTGTCTGGAGAAGATGCGATTTCTTTTTATTCCTTTACACAAGGTGACTCAGACGGACATTCCACGATTATATTGCTTTTATTGTTTTCAAGACTGTCACAAATACAAAGTATCACGAATTGCTCCACATAAAGTCGACCTACATATGTTGTTTGTCTTTGCTAATAAACAACAAAATGGAATTAAATATAAATCACTAAAAGCATTTGGAAATTAATCATCTCTGTGGTTTAAAAGAAACATATCTATATCCATATTCTTCCTTTTTAATTCAAAACTATAACTGCATTTCGGACTCCCCTTGTAATGAGAATAAGAACATATTTGAAAATCATCATGAAATCACTTCCCTTATGCAATAATTAAACAGGATTATGGGTTATGGGTATTGGGAAAATAAAATTGAAAAACCAATTAGACTATTGTTGATTCGCGACGTTTCGTCTCTATTTCTTTAGACTTTATGAAGCTTTCAACTTATCTAACTGACTGTCAAAATTATAAATATAAACATAAAGTTAGTTACGTCTTCTTTGGTCCAACCAGTTTGTTTAAAATCTTTTAGCTAATTAGATAAACTTGGTGAGAATTAATACATAAAGAATTGTATAAATTAAAATTTGAAAAAACAAACTGATTGGATCAAAGAAGATGCAAAACATTATGTTTATATTTATAATTTTGACAGTCTGTTAGATAAGTTGAGAGCTTCATAAAGTCTCAAGAAATACAGACGAAACGTCGTGAATCAACAATGGTCTTTTGTTTTCCCAATGTCCTGTTTTTCACAGTTTCCTGCGCATAGGTAATTTTATCGACACACAATATTGATATTCATCCAAAAGTAAAATAATGACTGAAAGAAACCTCTGTCTTCCTTCTTATTCTTCGATTCCAGCGTGTTGTGATTTTCTCCAACGTTTATCTAAATAATGCACTGATTTAAGTTTTTTAAGTTCTATTTTAATAAAATTGTATATTTGGAAAGTATACATTGCGCAAAAGTGTAACCGTTTCAGTAGTTTCCTCTGTCATACGTTGAAACCCAAAAACCGTAACGAAAAAAGTGTTTACGCAGTGTCAAAACGTGTTAAGTAACAGTGCCGAATTTAGCCATCTGCAATAAAACAAGAGCGTAAAATAAATGCAAATCAATCAACATGTCTTTTAAAACCGTTCTGATTTGAGTTGCTAATGAGTGAGAACACGATTACATTTAAACGCTCAAATAAACATTTTTACGTATAAAAACTACTTATACTGATGAAAATGCTTTCATGAGTACATGGCGAAGTACTTCCTTAAAGAATAAAGTAAACTTAGAAAAATTTCTACTGTAGATACCACCATTTGCCTAATAACAAATATGTTTTTCAAAGTTGCTTTGTCTCAATCAAGAACTAGAACTACAAGAACTTAAAAACTTAATAAAAGCTGTTTTCATTTATTATTGTAGAATCTTAGAACGTTAAAATTTTTATTGAAAATTTTAAGAGGAGTCGAGTTAAACCTTCATAAGATTACTATTCACGAATGGTTAAGGATGTAGGATGTTCTACTTTTCGGGAAATGCGAAGATTACCTCAGGATAGGAAAGAGTGGAGGTGCGTGTCCAACCAGTCTTAGGACTGATGACCTTATGATGATGATGACGATTTTTGTATTAAATGAAACTGTGGTTCAATGCCTAAAAACAATACTAATTAATTTTTAATAACGACAATTCAGTGTAAACTTGAAGTAACCAAAAAATTTCCGAATTGAGAAATTCGTTGGACTCATCAATCAGTTTGCTTTCATCATCATCTTCTTTATCTACGGTATGTTCATCATTCGCCTATAACATCAAATTTCGAACGCTTCTAACTTTTCTGCATTGTGTAGGGGAAATTCGACTCTTTAGAATGTGATAGAAATTTCCTATCTGTGCCAAATTGTTGGATCACTTGAATAATCCTTTTAAAAATGCTTGGGAGTGACATTGTCGATGGTACACTATTGATATACACCCATTTTCATTTTTGGACATACTTTCCTACAAGGTCTATGTTAAAATCGCATTCTCAATGTATAATTATTATGTTGAACTTGGTCTAAAATGTGTATCATTAATTCTACATACCCAAGGCGTAAAATAGCAAATACGTAAAGTAAAAGTATGCCTGCGGTAATCCTTGTGGTGCAGAGGTACGTGCTCCCTGAGTCGTGTTTAAATACTGTAAAGTACTCTTATCGCCTGGGGAAGTAGGTATTCTTTCGTTGTACGTACGGGCAGGTAGGCTTGTGCAAGCTGTTTCATTGTAAATTTATGTATCCATTATCGATGTTGAATACTTATCCGTTCTATAATTAATGCTCATGCATGCATTACCCGCAGAAACGCGTCTAAATTTATGAGAAAGCCGTGAGGCAAACACATACACTCGGTGAGAGGTGTATGAATGCTTGATAACGGAAGGATAATTCATGTCCATTTAGTGTTGCAAATCGCACCAAAAAGTCCAAACGGACTTTATTGTACGTATGAATATTATGTGGTATCTATATAAAGGAGCCTTTTTGATTCCAAAAATTGAAGCAATGCCTTCAAGATATATGCATAAAAAAAGCGAAGGAAAGGATTTTGATTCGAGGGTTTGTTTTAAAGTAAAAGACTTTACGTAATTTGTATTTTTATAAAGAGAAGCATCTGCTCAAAAACTAAAGGATTTGCTTCTCAAAAAGGGGAATCTAGGTTCACAACAACTTTTATCTCTCTTTTCAACTTTTCAGTGTATGTAATGTAAAAATTTATGTTTTTGTAGGACTGTTTTTGTGTTAAAATGTGTCCAAAAGGACTTGTATAAGATCTTTAGTTGTGTGATCCCAGTGTTGTGCTTGTTTTGGCTGATATGGTGCATTTACGTGTAACAAAATACTGCAAACCAAGACGTACACCACGAGAATCAGATTTTAAAATGTTATTTAGATNGCCTTTTTGATTCCATAAATTGAAGCAATGCCTTCAAGATATATGCATAAAAAAAGCGAAGGAAAGGATTTTGATTCGAGGGTTTGTTTTAAAGTAAAAGACTTTACGTAATTTGTATTTTTATAAAGAGAAGCATCTGCTCAAAAACTAAAGGATTTGCTTCTCAAAAAGGGGAATCTAGGTTCACAACAACTTTTATCTCTCTTTTCAACTTTTCAGTGTATGTAATGTAAAAATTTATGTTTTTGTAGGACTGTTTTTGTGTTAAAATGTGTCCAAAAGGACTTGTATAAGATCTTTAGTTGTGTGATCCCAGTGTTGTGCTTGTTTTGGCTGATATGGTGCATTTACGTGTAACAAAATACTGCAAACCAAGACGTACACCACGAGAATCAGATTTTAAAATGTTATTTATATTTGTGGAGAATGTCGTGTGGTTGACTTGACGCGTACCCCGAAACACGTGGAGCAGCCATGTTATCTGTACAGAAAATGAAAATATTTCTGCGTTATTGTTCGAACCATTTTAAATTTGCTAACTTCGAACACTGCACAAGTAAATGAGGAATGTATTAAACAAATAAAATAAACAGCTGTCACGGAACAGACACACACGTTGATTGCACAATGTAAATATCAATTAGTTTGCCGAAATCAGTAGAGGGCTAATCTGTACCTTTTACTTTATTAATCATTAAGCATTTCCTTGTACGGAAAAGGTATAGATTATGAATACGGATTGTAGCAAAAGCTTTTACTTCTACCTTTTACTTAAAACTAAACGCTTTATTTTTTATAAATACGCCCTATTGTAATCAGAGATACGGTTCCATGAAGCAGTTCTACTTGAAATAAAAACAGAATTATAAAATGAATGCCTAAAGTAGAGATAATTTTGGCTTTTGGCCAGTCTAGAAATTGAACTTATTATACTTATGCTCATTATTTTGTTTTCAGACAGATCCAATCAGAAAGGACTTGCTATGAACTGGAGTTCCAATATCTACAAAATAGAGCGCAAATCTACAAGCTGAGGTAAGTACCTAAATCAAAAAACAGTAAAATTACATACGAGCGAATCTAAAACGCAGTTGAACCCATTTGCAATAGAACATTTCTACAGCCGTAACATCAGCTTTAGAAAATAAAATATCAATTTAAAATCCAAAAATATACTCTGCAGCAATAAGAAGATATGCAGAACTAATTGCAACACATTTACTAGCTA